TTTCCCCTACCCCTCCCACTTCCCCCTCCCCTTTGCCCCTTTTCTTCCTATTTCACATTATCTATTTTAACTTTTAGTCCTTATTTACACTTTCAGTTTCTCACACTAGAGAAACTATTCAGTATTTACACATGTGTGTCCTGGTTATTTCACTTAAGAGTACCACCTCAATGTACATCCATTTAGCAATAAATGTCTTTAATCTTTAATTTCTCATTTTTGATGGCGAGTATTACTCCATTTTATTAAAAAAACCACATTTTCTTGATCCAGAAGGAGACAAATTTTAAAAAATATTATTTATGGAAGTGTGTGTGTGTGTGTGTAGTACTGGGAATTGAGCCTAAGACCTTTGTATTGAACTATATTCTCAGCCCTTTTTTCATTTTTTATTTTGAGACAGTCACCCAGGAGATCCTCCTACCTCAGACTCTCAGAATGCTTTCAGTTTTTTAATTGACAAAATTGTATATTGCCTATAATATATTTTGTATTATGTACGAGGTATGACTGAAAAATACAGTGGATGTAGTTCAGTGGCACCATGCCTGTCTGGCAAGCACAAAGTCCTGAGTTCCATCCCTGGTTCCACACAAAAAAAATTACAATAAAAGACACATTGCTATTAATCCCCCTCAAAATACTCCCTCTTGCTTATCCTATTACTCTTGCCACTTTCTGAAGCAGTTCTGGATCTTTAATTGCATTATTATGGCTGCCTTGTCTTTGCTGTTATTTTTTGTCTTTTTTAGTTGTGGTAGTTTGTTTTGTTTGTTGGTTTTGGGGGGGGTGAGGGTGGCTGCTGCTTTGTCTTGAATTGATTCAAAATGTTTACCTCTCATGGTCATTTTGACTTTGTAGAAGAGCCAGAAGTCACACTGTGACAAATCCAGTGAATAAGGTGGATGAGGACACACTGTTTTTAAGATCCTGCCTTTACTTTCACCATATTTTTTTTTTATCATACCTTGTAAAGACACTTTTAGAACTGCTTCAGAAAGTGACAAGAATGATGAGATAAGCATATAAAGATTGAAAAGGAATACTTGAAGAGGATTAATGTCAATGTGTCTTTTACTGTAATAATTTTTAAATTTTTTTAGTTTTTTGAGACAGGGTCTTGTTATGCAATTCAAGCTGGCCTTGAACTTACTATGAAGCCCAAGCTGGCCTCAGACCTGTGGTGAACTTCATCCACTGCTGGGATTATAGGTGTATGTCACCATAGGTGCCTCAAATTTGTTTATTTAAATATTCGACATTGGGCCAGGGATTTAGCTCAGTAGCACTGCACCTGCCTCACAAGCGCAAGGTCCTGAGTTCAATCCCCAGTACCAAAAAATGAATGAATGAATGAATGAATGAATGAATAAATAAATAAAAATAAATATTTGACATCTTGTACACATGCATAATGGCTAAATTAAGCTAATTAACCTATTCACTATTTCACATACTTTTTGGTGGTGAGACTATGTGAAAAGCAGCTCTTTTAGCAGTTTTTAAGAATACAATACATTGCTAACTATAGTCACTGTGTTGTACAATAGGCCTCTTGCATTCATTCTATTAAGAATACATTAAAGGAGGGTACTTATAAGTGTACTCATAAGGGTATAAATTTGTGTGCTTGTTTACGCTTGATCTTAGCCAAAAGACAGAGAAGCAATTTGTGTGCTTGTTTAAATCAGCCTTATTTCTATTTTCCTGAGCTATACACCTACCTTGCAGAAATTAAGATCTAAATGGATTAAGCATTTACCCTAGCCAGATGTTAAGTCTTCCTTGTCCTTTCTCTGCTTTGAGAGTGTTCATCAGAGTGGGAATTTCACCCTCTCCACAGATGATCTGGATCACCCTGTTGCCAGTAGGGGCCCCTGTGGCAGTGCCTGCATCCCATCTTCCCTACTAGCATCCTTCTCAAAAAGAAGCTCATTGGTCAGATTGCTGTGGCCCACTCAAAAGCTACTCCTGCATGATGTGCAGCAGTTCTGTTGATGCTTCAAAAACACTTATTCAAGCTAGGCCTGGTGGCACATGCCTATAATCCCAGCACTTGGGAGGCTGAGGCAGGAGAATCACTGAGTTTGAGGCCAGCCTGGGCAACATAGTAAGCTCAAGGCCAGAATTGAACTATATAGTGAGACCCTGTCTCAAAAAAACCCCAAACATTTTTTCATTCACCCATTAATTTATAAGTACCTGCTGAATGCCTTTTATTTGCAAAATGTGGAGACAAGTTAATCCTTTCTGGAAGGCAGGGGACAGATAGGTGATGGTTAGATGGATGGAAGGATCATCACTGTGTTGGATATTGGAAATACAAAGATAAAAAGGCACAACACCTGCCCAGAAAGAATTTACAGTTTTTTTGGTTTTTTGGTTTTGGTACCGGGGATCAAACTCAGGACCCTGAGGAATTTACAGTCTTATTTTGAGAAAGATCAGTAATAAGGTTTGTGTATAATTTGAGAAAGGAGGAAGAATGCTTAAATCTGCTCAAGGGAACTAGGGAAGTCCAAGCATTGCCAGGACAGGTTGTAGAATGTTCATTGTGGAATGTTCAATGGAAAGTGGGATGGGGCACTTAGATACTCACAGATTGGAGGCTAGGGTTTTGGGGTTAAAGGAAGTCTTGGAGTTAGAATCTTATGAAAAGCCTTTTTCAAAATCACATTCTTTTTCCCCCCCAGTACTGAGTATTGAACCCAGGACCTTTGCATTATGTAGCATCACTAGTCCTTTTTAATTATTTATTTTAATTTTGAGATAGGATCTCACTAAGTTGTTAGGTTGCCCAGGCAGGGCTTGAACTTACCATACTCCCACCTCAGCCTCACAGAATGCTAGGTTACAGGCATGAGCCACCACACCTGGCTCACAATCACATCCTTGACTTCTGGCATACTATCCAACTATTATTGAGAAAACTCATATTCAAATTTGAGGAACAAGACTTTAACCTTTTAAAAATATTTTTATTGGGCCGGGGATTTAGCTCAGTGGTTCTGGCGCCTGCTGCGCAAGTGCAAGTTCCCGAGTTCAATCCCTGGTACCCCCCCCCAATTTTTTTTATTGCAAAAGAAATATATATAAAATGCAGAAAATGCAGCTGGGAACAGTGGGCCATGCCTGCAATCCTAGCACTTGAGAGGCTGAGGCAGGAGTCATGCCTGGGGAACTTAGCAAGACTCTGTCTCAAAATAAAAAATAGGGCTGAGAATGTAGCTCAGTGTGAAGGCCCTGGGTTCAATCTCCAGTATCACATACACACAGACAAATCGGAAAACACATAAAATAATTAAAAAGGAATACAAAGATAACCCTAATCCTACCATCTAAAGACAGTTGTGGGTTTTTTGTGCCAGGGATTGAACTCAGGACCTTGTGCTTGCGAGGCAGGCACAGTGCTGCTGAGCTAAAACCCTGACCAAGACCGTTTTTTATATACATATATTCTTCCACATAATTTTGCATATACATATATTCTTTCAATTAAAGTAATGTTTCACACAGTTTTGTAAGCTTCTCTTTTCACTAACAATATCTGGTATATATCTCTTCCTGTTCATAGATTTCAATATCATTGTTAATAGTTGAGTAATATTATTTTGTTACATAATTACATGTCATCACTTTTTATTAACAATAATTTTGGATCCTTCATAGTGATTTAAAAGATAATCAATTTGCTTTTTTCTTATGCATTTTTAACTTAAGATACACCAGAAGCTAACATACTACTGAATTTTATAAGAGAAAATAGAGAAACAAATATTTTGACTGATGAAAATGCCAGTTATTTGAAAGAATCCATAAATTGTAAGTGACCATTTAAATATTGTTTGACTTTTAGATCAAAATTGAGCCTATAAAGTTTTGATTGGCATAGTAAAAGGTACCATATCCTTAGTCTATTACTACTATTTTTCTGCTTTTAAAAAGCTAGTTTAAAGCTGATTGTGGTGGTGCATGCATGTAATCTCAGTACCCTGGGAGGCTGAGGAGAAAGAATCTCAAGTTTGAGCCCAGGCTGGCCAGCTTAGCAACTTAGTGAGACCTTGTCTCAAAATTTTAAAAATGGCTTGGGGGCCGGGGATTTAGCTCAGTGATTTCACCGCCTGCTGCTCAAGCTCAAGGACCTGAGTTTGATCTCGGGTACCAAAAAAAAAAATGGCGTGGGATAGAGCTCAGTGGGAGGGCCCTGGGTTCAATCTCCAGTACCACACACACACACACACACACACACACACAAAGGCTACTTTAAAATTTTGAGGGCATATATAACCACTAGGCAATCTGATGAGTGCTACTGATTTTCTCCCCAGAAAAGTACTGTGCCCACACATAGAATGTGATATAAAATATCATTTTCTTGGGTTTAGTTCTTAGAATGATAACCCCCCAAAAAAACCTCTTCAGATGTTCTGGATGAGTACTTTGTTCCCTGGTAGATTGCTAGCATCCCATACTCTGTGGCTCATCTTCTCACCTTTTCATAGGTTTTGAATCCATTTATATGATCAGAATGTTTTTGTTTCATTTTAATAGTACTGGAGATTGAACAAGGCCTCGTGCATGCTAGGCAAGCACTATACTGGTGAGCTGCGTCTTCAGTCCTATAATCCATTTTAATATAGCAAATTTAATATTTTTCTGTTCCTTAAGCTATTTACATGTTCTCATTTGAACTTTATAACGTTTCTACTTGGATGTAATCCTTTATAGTTCTTAGAATATATAGGAGACTATAATACTTCTTTTTATTTTTAGTAAATACAATAGTTGATATCTATACAGTTGAGCAGTTAAAGGCAAAAGCTTTGAAGAATGAAGGAAAAGCCGAACCTTTCTATGGTATTCTCTATGCTTATATTTCCACCCTGAACATTGATGATGAAACCGTGAAAGTAGTTCGAAATAAATGGTAAGGACCCAAATTATTTTTAGCCTGGGCTACATAGTTGAAGGCCAGCCTGAACTACATAGCGAGACCCTATTACACAAAAAAGAAAAAGAAGTTGTTACTAAAGTGAAGTTAACATATCACTAGCAATATTAACTGAGCTGAAAAGAGGGAAGGGAATGCAAACTCAACAGTCCAAGCAGGTTTATTGCTAAACCTGAAAGGAACCTCTCTGCGAGCAGAACAGAGAAGGTGTCTCCTATGGGCTAAGAGGCTTTTATTTATTTATTTATTTTTCCATTAAGTTTATTGGTCCATTTAGGTATACAATACAGTTACATTCATCATTGGGATCTTGTATCTTTACATGACATATCTTGGTTCTTATTTTTTCCCCATTCCCCTGCCCTCCCTTTACCCCCTCCTCCCTCCCCTATTTACAAAGACTTTGTTTCCA